GACATACATAAGCTAAGTATGACCCGTAGCTTAGCTACTTAGGAGCCTAAGGCAAAAGGCCCACTTTTGAGCCCAGAAGTTTAAAGTTGGTTTGGACAATATAGCAGGACCCCTCCCTATAGCAGCATCAAAATGGGTAAGGGAGAAATTTTTTTTTTTTTTAAATCATCTGAATGATTTTCATCGAAGAGTTCTCTCTTCCTTGGGAATAAAAGGGTTTAAAAAAAGACCCTTAGATCTTGTATTCTTTCTCAGTATATGAACTTACTCCATCCTTTAAGCCCTCCAGGTTAAGGAGATGCCTACTTGAGCCAGTATAGTCTCTGAAGCCTGTCTTAATCACTAGGTTTCCTTACTCAGGAATTCAGTAAATGCTTCTAGATTTAGAAATGGAAATTGCTGATTTTTCAGATTAGTTTTTCTTAAACACCAAGGAAGTGCCAATTGAAGGAATGTTGACAACCTTAATGAAACTTGGCAGGCTGGAAAGTTTTATGTCCCTGAGACTAGACATTCTTGGAGAATAATTTTCTGTCACTTTTCAAGTTTCTCTTATAGAAAAACAGACATCTGTTAATGTTTTAGAATATGGTTACTTAAAAATTGATTACTCAAATATATGTTATGTCCTGGTCGTTAATGTGACCTCAGCTGTTTTTAAGAGTTTTAATATAGCTCAGGTATCAAAGAAGAATAGTGCAATCAAATACAGTGACTTGGCAAGAGCCATCATAATTGTATAGCAGATTCATTATTTTTATTAAAAATACTAATAACTCAAACAGATGAACTTGTCAAATTTATGGTTTTGTATTTGTATCTGGATTTGAGCCAGATTTCTCCAGAAATACTCTTAGATGGAAATTTTCATCCAAGAAGTGTTATAGAATGTTCTCAGAAACATCACTTGTAATGGCAGCAGTAGTACATGTAGTATAGCTGACCACTGTTTGCATGCCCCATGGCTTCCTTTGAATACTAGGCGTTACAGAGAGTCTGTTATACTCAGATTCTGTTGCCTTCCTCTGAGTGCTATGGATTCTTACTTTAGGGACCATTGAATTGGTGAATGATTATCTTGAACTTGTATCATTGGTTTTATGCTTTGTTAATATTCTTGTGGAAAGTCCTATGTGTTTCCACAAACCTCTCTAGCTGCTACATGGTCTCAGTCATTCTTGAGACTCTCTGCTCTGAAGAGGGAGACCTGAATAGTGTACTACACTATCCACCATGTCTGCAGATTCCAGCAGGGGGATATAGAGAAAGTCATTAGATTGAATAAAAAGAAATTGTCTATCCTGCAATAGATTTCTCAGAGGATTGAAGATGTACCAGCCTTCTGTAACGTTAATGTTGTACACACACATGGTTAATAGTATAGAAATTCAAAATGCTCCAGAAACAGAAGAAAGTTTGGCACAGCTCATTTATCAACCACTGTAACTAAAGTTTTAACTGTGTATTCTTTCTCCACTTAAGTGTATAATCATGTTGCTGAAATGTTGTTTTATAAAATACTACCCTAAAGGGTATGTGTGCTGGTGTTCACCTTGCTAATGGTCTGAAAATTCGGACACATCTGGTTTTGAGGATTTTGATAAGTGTCCTTGAACCTTCTTTTGGCAGTGTCATTTGAGGTGGGTATAGTGGTTCACGCTTATACTTCCTTAACTTAGATAGGCTGAAGGGAGGATTGCCAAGAGTACAAGGTCAGCCTGGACTGAAGAGAAACCATGTCTGAAAAACAAGTCATTTGACAACAGTCAATGTGTTCCATAAACACATATACTTCTTAACTTTCAGCAAACCAAGAAGTCTTAAATAAAGTGGAAGTTCAGTATAAGACTTTCCCAGGATGGAACACAGACATATCTAATGCAAGGACATTTAAGGAGCTCCCTGTCAATGCACAAAATTATGTTCGGTTTATTGAAGATGAGCTTCAAATTCCAGGTAAACACTTTATGAGCAGCTATCTTTAATTTTCTGTTAGTTTGTGGGGTTTTTTGTTGTTGTTGTTGTTTTTTGTTTGTTTGATTTTGGATTATTTACTTTTATAGCTTTCACCCTCATCAAAAAATGTTTTTTGTTGTGATGGTGGTTGTTTTTATCATTTGGTTTAAGCTGCTTGTCAGTTGAAATCTTGGATGGACATTAGAAAATAATAGAGTATAAATAGGACATCTATCTATTGCTGTATCTCATTACTGTTGCTGTAGTGAAACACCATGACCAAAGCAGCTGAGGATGAAAGTTTATTTGACCTTCTCTTTCATATCACTGTTTGTCGTTGAAGAAATCAGCAGGGCAGGAGCTGATGCAGACGCCGTGGAGGATTATTGCCTACAGGCTTGCTTAGCTATTCACCTGCCCAGGTTTGGCACCACCCAAAATGGACCAGGCCCTCCCCCATTAATCACTGATTAAGGAAATGCCCCGCAGGTTTTCCTGAGCCCAATCTTATATAGGCATTTTTTCAATTGAGGATCTCCCTCCTTTCTAGCTGTGTGTCAGGGTGACATAGAACTAGCCAGCTCATCTCATTGGCAAGAAATTTAAAGTAATGCCAAAGAGTGAATTGGTTTACTCATATAGTCCTTGCTCATGGGAGACCAAGGCAGGAGGATTGCTGAGAGTGCTAAGTTAGTCAGGCCTGTATAATTAAACCTTGTTGAAATACAACAGAGAACACAAACCAAAAAAATGAGAAATGGATGTAACACATGTAAAACAAAACAAATGGCCAGAGTTGGGCATAATGAAGTTATGTCGCCCATTCTGTTATAGGATTGTGTTTTCCTTTCATCCTTTTGTTTATCTTGATGGAAGTATTTTCCACATGCAACATATTATGTACTTCCACTGTCTCTGTTGTGTTTCTTTTTTATTCCTGATTCATTTCAGACATGGTTTTTGTTTCCAGATTGTTTGGGTCCCTCACAGCTTGATGTCAAACTTAGCGAGCATATTTGTGAACGCCTACAGTTTTTGGATTATAAATAGCTGAGTCTTAATGAACCCTATAAAATAGCATAAAGGGTTCTCCTGGCAGTATCTTGAGGAACCCAGTAATTCTATGAATAATTAGAACTGTGAGGCAGAGATGACCAGTCATTCCCCTGGACTTGTGTACTAGGCTGTCCTAAGGCTGTGCAGTTCAGAATTGTCAAGATATTTTTATACATTTTAATGTAAAACTTACAGTGGATTTTTGCTTATCTTTTCTGTTAGGAACTTTATAAAAAAAATTCTTTATATCTCTGTTAATTTGAACCAAGATTTTATTGTCATGGTCACTGAGGGTGAAGGAATGGTCAATACTTTATAGTTAGAACAGAATAATAGGCAGGCTAGTCTGTGCTGGATCCCTTCTAGTATGCATTCTTTCTAGACGAAAAGGAGAGGATTTCTTCTCTTTCTGACTTAGAATACAAGTTTTTTTATTCACCTTTTTGATGACATAATTGAAATACTTAAATTATCTTTGAATGGCAATAGTAAATAATTCCTTTGTGGTCCAGAAATAAAAGTATACAAAATTGAGCACACCTTTTAAAACTATGTGGTACATTGCAAATATAAAACAGAGACTAAATGTGAAACTAGTTAATCATTTTTTTAAAAAACAATACATGACAAGAAATCTTACAGAAAAATCCTGAAGCAGAAATATTCTCAACTTAATTTTCTAATGGCTTAAAAAAAGTCAGATCACATCTTCAAATCACTTTGCCTAAAGATGACGGTGTTTCCTGTACATCACTGTTTTTTTAGAATGAACATGAAGCACTCCAGCACAGTATGTGGTTTTCAATTTTAAATGACTTTCTTTAGGAAATCATGTTTTATGCTTATAATGTGCTAAAATTATTACATGGAAGAGCTCTTTTTAAGGCTTACTTATTTTTTTATGTGTGCCTGTACATAATGTATGTGTTCCACATGGATACAGTGCCCACAGTACCAAAAGGGGCACCATGGATCCTCACGAACTAGAGCTATGAATGGTTTTAAGTCACTGTGTTCTGCTCAGAATTGAACTAGGGTCCCCTGCAAGAGCAGCATGTACTTTCACTGAGCCATCTCTCCAGCCCCCCATGGAAGAATTCTCATCTTGGTAGAGTACCCCAGAAGCCCTTTTCTTTTGATTCTCAGAATCTACATTAATGGATACCTTAAAAGGTTTTTTATATACTAAATTATCTAACATAAGTATATCCATAGTTCTTTGTTTTTGAGATCAAAGATATTCAGCATTTATTATTTCTGCCTTTAAGAAATAGTAACTTTTAAAAAATTCAAATCAATCCCTCATAGTACTGGTTAATGACATTGAATCAAAACCTGATAATTTACTTTTTGAGCCTCTACTTTTTAAATACAGCATCACTCTTAACTTAAAATGAAACACAGCTAGGAGTTCAGCTCTTGCCTAGCAGGACTTTCCTCTCTCTTCATCCCAAGGTTAAACGTCACAGGGGACTTGATTGATGTTCTTCTGTTTTGTTTTTCAGTTAAATGGATTGGTGTAGGTAAATCCAGAGAGTCCATGATTCAGCTCTTCTAAGGACTGCCAGCAGTGCACTGAGACACTCCTTGAGAGGGAGGGGAAAATACTTAAACATTTCTCTATGATCTGCAAATTCAAGAATAAAGACAATTGAAATGAGTTTCAAGCTGGCATTGGTTTGCAGTCTCTGACGGATGGCTGTCACGGATAGACTGGCGCCCTCCCATCCAGCTTCTCAGCTGGCATGGCCGCTGCATCTGTTGCTCCTGCTGCTCATGGTGCCACACACAGTTCCTTTCCATGTTTAGTAATTGTATAATCCCTGTTGTTTGAAATCTAAAACTTCCAGTGTAGTTTTTCTTCATTATTGTCATTGTGTTTGAGTTTTTATCCCGACTAGATAGTGAGAACAATTTTAATGCAGTTTTGCACAAGTATTTTTACATTCTGATCATTCAATTCTGTCATTGTAATTTTTGCTGTTAGAAAGAAAAATGAAAAGATAGGGGTTCTGTCAATTTTTGTAATGCTATGAATTCTGTTTAAATTGTGAACTGCTTATTTTCTGCTGAGGCCATTGCAAAATTGAGCTTTGGTTTGGTGGGGGGGAGTATGTTCATGGAACCTTTCATTTGTATAGAGCACAGAACTTAATTCTCTCTACAGTTATTTAATACAATGAACATTTAATTCAGTGTTCAAAGAGATGTTTCCCTATAATAACAATCTTAATGTTAAAAAATAATTATTAAAAAATCTGTTGTGATATTTGGTGAATACTTTTGTTTGTTTTCAGGTATGAGCTCAATCAAATGTATATCTTTTCTTTTTATTTTTTAAGTATACTGTTATTTCTAAGAACAGTGGGTTGACTTTCAACATTGTGCCTGCCAGTATATCTACAAAATGACCGACTCATAAATACCCACATGAACCCCAATTGTCAGCCATAATTTTGATCATGAGTTCATCTCTCCTTTATTGAGAAAACAAAGCGGTATTATTTGGCAGGTAGGCTTTACATCGTGCTGTAGATTATCCTCCATGGACTATTAAATGCTTAAATTAGGTATCACTTGAAATTATTTTATTATAACCATCAATAGCTAATTAAAAAGAACCAAATATTTCCAGTATGGTTTGTGTGTTGTTTTTCTTGTGTTCATAGTAATCCCAGTGTGGAGGAAGGATGCCCTATGAAGTGCATGGGGACAAGGTAGGCAGAGATCAGATGGATCTTCAGGAGGATTGAAATGTCTTATCACTGAAGTATTTTTATTAATACAAGGTTTAAGAAAAATTCCAAACTAGCAGTTTCATTGGACTCAATAAATAATAAACACAAGTGACCCCACCAGCCCGCTCTAACCGTGTAACACCTGAGAACAGAGCAGAGCCAATAAACCCTGCTTCACCCCATGAAAACTGCAAGGCCTCAGAAGATCTGTATTCTTGTATTCATTGTATTATTGAAACATTTTCAGTAATGAACCCATTTTCATTCAAGTCAGAAATTTTTCCTCCATTACCCAAAATATCTCCGATTACTGTTATTTACTGATTTTTAAACCACTCTGGATATTTTAGTTTCTCTTTGAATGTGAGCTGTTGGTTGATTAGGAGAGATGGTCTATTCTTTAAATAAAGCTGTCTTTCAAACCTTTGATAACTATTACAATTTTATTTAACAAGGTTGTTTGTGCCTTCTGTTAGATACTAGATATGCAGTAGCAGGGGCAGTTACGTACAGTTATGAAAGATATGGTAGCGGCAGCATGCTAAACATTGATGAATGATGTTATATGCTTCAATGAAGCATGCATGGTGAAATGAATGAAACCTAATCAAAATGTCTGGGCAAGGGCCAGAGAAGGCTCCTAGGAGATGCTTAAACATATTAACTGGATGAATTAGCATGAGGGAAAATGTTCAGGGTCCACTCTAGATTCTGCAGAGGTGGAAAAAATCGAACCAAATTAGCAAGGGGCTGGGTGGGGTTGGCAGCAGACTGAGGGACGCGGCAGAGTCCTATGGGTTAGAATGTAATGCCTGTTATGGCTAAGCTGCAGCAGAACTACTAAATCAGAAAACCTGAGCTTGGGGACCGAGAGATGGCTCAGCAGCTTAGGATCGCTTGCTGCTTTCTCAGAGGATCAGAGTTCAGTTCCTACACTGTGTGACTTTCAGCTGTTTTGTGACTCCAGGTCTCGGGGTCTGATGCTGTCCTTTGGCCATGGACACTCACATGTGGTGGGCATACACATCTTTAAACCTAAGTTTTAGAATTTAGTAGACTATTGAATGACTGACTGCAAGTGGGAGTCACCAAAGAGCTAAGCATACCCAGCTGTAGCACAAGATGCTTGAGCAGGGAAGGTTAGTTTGCATATTTGATATTAATTGGATACTATAGAATTAGGATAGACATGAGACAGTTTTGAGAAGATAATGTGAGGGGTTGTGTGTGTTTATTTGAGACAGTCTGGCCTGGAAATCACCATGTAGCTCTGCCTTACTTTGGCCTGGTCTTTCAGGACCCTACTTCCCAGGTGTGTGCTATACCACATGTGGCTCAGGAGGTTCTGCCTTCACCACTTGTTAAATTACAAAGCTACTGTAATCAAAATATGGCACTGTCATGGGAAAAGATGAAGGAAAAGATGGCGGTACATTTTATATAAAAATGTAATTGACAATAAGTAGGGACAGCTTCTGCTAGGACCTGAATTTTTGTATGTTATTAATGCTAAATTGGTATTAAATCTAGATTTAGAACATGAATTTGTACTTTTTGTGGTAATCGCTTAAGAGTCTGAAGCCAGGCAGGTAGATCTCTGTTCAAGGCCAGCCTCGTCTACAGAGCAAGTTCGGCTACACAGAGAAGCCCTGTCTTGAAAATTAAAAAAAAAAACAAAACAAACAAACAATTATTTACCAAGGTGTAGGCCATGAAAAGGGCAAACTGTAAACTGAAGTGGAAGTGGTTGGCAATCTGTGTAAGAGGATTAGATACAATTTAAAGGCAAAGATTGATAAAAAGCCATTGAAAAACAATCAGACTTCATTGTCTAAGTGTTGTACCTTTAGCTAGAAGAAACAGATGGGGTTATATAGGGGCTGAAGATAGAGCTCAGGTGGTGGAGCGCTCACATAGAACTCCCAAGGCCCTGGATTCCATCCTTAGTACTGTCTGTATGAAGGGGAGCTTGGTCTCGCCTAAAGACCTCGCTCGTCACCCATAGTATCTACTGTTAATATTAACTCCAACTTCTCCCCAAAGATCATATGGACTTTTACTAATGTTTGTGTGTGTTGAAGGAAATATGACTCACCTTTGTGGGGACTGGCTCAGAACTGGCTGATTCCAGATTCGAAACTGGCAGGTTCTAGATTGGCTTTTGTGGTGGTGTGGGTGTGTGCTGTGTCTAATGGCTCTGAACCTGGGATGTCATTGCTTCAGATGCAGGAGGATTAATGAGAATACTGCTTAGCATTTGGAAGAATCCCATATTGGTGGCTGGGGACTAGTTGGTGGGAGAGGCTACCTGGAAGTTGTTAGCACTACTTCTGCCTAAGGAAATCCTTAAGTCCAAAGCATAAATATCCCTGGGGGTTAGAGGTGTCATTGCCACATTAAAGTAAGAGTTGTGATTCCAAAGAGCCCATGCGTCTCTCCCATGTGGGTTTTGGGAGAAAAACAGTAGATTGTTGCTACCTGGTAGTTGTCACTTAACTAATGGCTCCCCAGTTGCAGCTGGTGTGCCACATAGATTCATTGCTTAAGCAAGTTCACACATCCCTTGTTAGATGGCATGTTGTAGCTTTTGATGTGAAAAATTGCCCCATCCCTATTTTTAAAGATTGTTAGAATTGGTTCCCACAGAAACCTTCACAGTCCTACCAGAGGGGTGTGTTGTTGCGAAGGAGGATAATCCTGGATGCACAGTTTCATTAATTCCCCTCTTTGCTAGTCCCGAATCCCACTGAAGACCCACAGTTGTCTCCCAGTCTTCTTCCTTGGCTAGTGATCTTCTCTGATACCATAGATGAGCACTTACTGCGAAGGCAAAATGGTTAGATGGTTGTCAGCATCAGCAACAAGATGATAAAAGCTTATGACAAATTATGACAGCGTACTTTTTATTTTCCCTTGCAAGCACTGTATTACACAGCAAGCACTGTATTACACAGCAAGCACTGTA